GGGCGCTGTGAGGGGAGTAATTCGTTTCTGCCTATGTTTTGTAGTGGATGGATATGAGCAACGGCATGGAATTTGCAATGGGAAGTTCGGTTAAACTATTCTGATAAGTTCCAAAGCCTGGTGGTTACCTGACAGATTTTGTACAAGGGTTGTTTTAAATCACTTCTTGTAATAAATCGCAAATGGTTCCTCTAACCGGTTGCGACTGGGGTTCATATCAGTGGCTAAGGGTTATGCATGGTTCATATCGATGAACATTTAAATCGGCACACTTTCAACCAACGTTCAATTTCAATTTTTTTACTATTAGCTTCCGCGCATTGATAGTTTTTTAACAACTAAACTGGTGGTCGAGACACTTAGCTTTAAACCTAAGCCCCTCGTATAAACGGCTTAAAAATATTTATTTTGCATCATGGCTGCATGAAGATCACGTTAAATTATTTGACTTTCATCCTGTGCTAGAGTAATTCTTGCCACGATCTCTTCTAAATCCTTCCCTAGCATGATGCTCTACCGGAAATCCTTTTGGCTTGCACATTAAATAGGTTTAATATACCATTCCATTAATAGAATACTCATTTACAGTGTTATAACCAGTAATTTTGGGCTGTTGAGTATATTAGTGCGGAGGTAAGCACAAATTAGGAGGTCTCTTCGAAAACTAAAGCTGCATGAAATAATGATAAACTAGGAAGACACTGCAATTTGTAAACCATTTCGTATAGCTTCCATTTTTTCTTCCTTAATTAGCGGTCGATTGAATTAGGACAAGGGAAAAATTTGATGATGGCGGCAGTTTCGCTTCGGTCTTTGGCGGCAAGGGAGAGGCAAAGTTCCAATTAATTGCCGACTCAGAAGGCTCCAAAAAACGAGGGCAAAAGAAGTGGAAGCAGCAGTACCCGCCGCTCGAGGTAAAGACGAATATGTTCACAACAGCTTAAGTCAAAGTGGCGCCTTGTCCCATTACCGCAATTTTGTCCAAACCACACGCGATGATAGCGATTTTTTAAACAAAGGAACCGTCCTAATTAATTTTTTTAGCCACCCATTCCATTAATCTCTTCGACACGTAGTCAGAAACGGTCGAATTTAGTACAACAAGGTGTGCTTTTGACTGCGCTTCCCACCTTTCAGTTGTGTGTGGGTGCGTGAAGGCGTGTTTACGTGGACATCCGCTTCTCGTTTAATGACATCCAATTAGATTCCATTACCCCACCGCATTGAACAGCTAACTCCCACCGGAAATTACAATTCCGGTCATAAAAGGTTGAGCAGAGCTTGTCTGAGCAGAGATGACTAGTGTGGAAGCACTTTGTACCCAACAACTGCTGTAAGTCTAGCCTTAACTTTGGAGTTTTGTACAAACTCCACCAAGTGATTGTCTAGTAAAACTGCCATAAGTTCGGCTGAGACAAGTTAAGTCGAGCTCCTGCAAGTCTACATTTCACGGTCAACGAAAATCCTCTCAAAACATCAGCATAGGAGACGATTAAACTACCTAGTCAGCAGTGCAGTATTTAAAATGAGTAATGAGTCGCACTCACACAAAATTCAGACTTCATGAGGAGCCGTACTAAATTATGACATTTTTATTGGTCTTCAGCACGCAACTTCCGACGCAAAAAGTGTATTCATTATGGTCTTGCCCTTCAGCGCGTGTGTAAAGGAACGGCAGGGAAACTCCAAATAAACTCATTAATGAGAAAAAAACCAAAGTGTATCCATCAATATGTAAAAAAATGCATGTGGCAATGCTCTAGCTTGACACAACAATAATTCCCAGTTTTGCATAATCTTCGAGGATTGTACAGTAATATACCGCTACTTACGTTCCCTTGAAAAGTCTCTTATGAGACTAAAAGCATAAGTCCCCTTTCCCTTCAACCTCCTGATCTACGATTGTTGTTGTCACTTCTCCCAGTACAGATAGGATCATATTCAGTCCAAATGTAGGTGGAAAATGATATTAATAAAGCAGCGAAACGCGATTCTCATTTCTGGAACTTTGAGCATAAAATTGGAACAAGTGAACTAACCTTCAGAACAAAACTTGGAGTTAGGAACACCAAATCGCACAACTCGACGAAATATTATCACTATCCCAATCTTCCTGGTTCTGGTTAATAGCCACGTCATTAGTCCATCCTTTTGGTCACAATGGACTAGAAGTACGAGTTGCACAATTAAACATATACCGAAAATTGCTCCCATCTTTTATTCCCAAATTCAACCCCTAAAAAAACCACCAACTCGTTTGACAGATTTCGTCAGCTTGTCGCTACATTTTGACATTGACTTTGTCTATCAATCGGGGGTGAATAAAAGTGCACTGGATGGTGTTAAGCCTAAGCAGTAATTTGTAGGAAAGGAAACGCATAAGGTTACAAAAGCAAGGTAAAGAAAGTTTCAAAATGCCAAAAAAAAATATTTCCGCTCGGGAAGTTTTATCAATACAACACAGAAATAGTTATCAAAGAAGTTAAGAGTTTAATCTAGCCCAACGAAAGTGGAGCTATCGTCGATAAAATCCACGACCACGAGGGTTGCGATGCGTGATACTGCCACGACCACGTCCACCACCTCGAAAACGAGTTGGAGGAGCTCCTCTTCTTCCTCCCCTTCCGCCTCTGATAACGCCACCGCCACCGCCACCGCCACCGCCACCGCCACCGCTACTGAGTGCCTCTGCGCGGCTGGGAGTGGAAGTGTAAACAACGGGAAGCATGTCTGCCGTCACCTAAAAGCATAAAAATGTGTTTATTCTAATCCATTAACCACTGAAGAAATAAAGTACACGTGTTCGAAAATACGCATCGAATTGACTACACCATCTTGATGCATAATATTCCGAGTAAAATTGTTACATGAATGGCTCTTTGGAAAACAACAGCTATGATGCATAGGTCACCGAGCCTTCGAGGAAATTTCAAACTGGGATTAGCCTAGTAGAGCTCCAAAAGTGGGACTGTTAGTAAGAAAGTGGTGATAAGTAAATTACAAAAAGCAGCCGCCCACTGAGTGTCCTTCGAACTTGGAAAATCAGTGATCTGGTGAACTACGAAAGCGGTGAAACTGTAACTGACTCCAAGTCATAAATCACTTCTGAGATAAAATAGCATCACTCGTTTATAAAGTCTGTGATCTTGATATCAATTTTTGGATAACCTAGAAATGAGCCTGATGTGAAAAGGTTAATTCAATCGTAGCTTCACTATTTAAAAAAAATGGCACTCTTGTACACATAACTTGGGGATGAAATAAAGATCTAAATGTATGTGATCAATAAAGCTTAAGAAGACGCTCACCTCAGCATTGTCCATAGTGCGAAGCATGCTAATGGGGACCTCCTCCTGTTCTTCACTTTCGAGGTAGGTCACTAGAGCCACGTGCTCACCAGCCACTTTAGTGGGAAGAAGACCAACGAGGCGAGCCGCCTCATAGTCGCCCGACATAACTCGCGCTTGCAAGACTGTGTCCGGGGCGAGACGTAGTCTTGTCGACGCAGAAACCGATGATGAGGATGCCATCATTGAGGGCTTCGAAGGACCAGGTCGTTGGGGCAGTGGTTGGTCCATGAATTCGGAGAGAGGCACTGGACCACTCGAAGGTTTCCCCCGAAGACCTGCCCGCTGAGCCGCTGCCACCTGAGGAAGGAACACAAGAGGTAAAACATATGGGGTTTTACGTTTTACATAATACTAGGACTTATACTTTAAACGCCAATCTTCTACGTCACTAATCTCTACAATGACGTTTCTAACAGCCAGACAGTCTTCATACTTCTAGCCCCAAACACTTTTTACGTACTGACTTTGGAAATGACTTGAGAACCGCGTGGTACCTTTATCCCAAATTCATATCAAAAACATTTCTAGATTAAGAGAGGACCATTTTATCTTAGGCAATATTATGGTCATCAATAAATGGTTTGGGCGCTATATTCCGATCGTAGTGCGACTGACTCGTGTATGACAGCTATACCCAAGTTGAGCGAACGTACCAATAAGATGTCGTTTGAAGAAACCGCATAATCGGGTGGTGCTAATACGTCCAAGTAGTAAAAATATCTGTCGGCAAAATAACAAATAGTACATCACTCGGCAATATTTAAATGGTAAAAATTCCCGATGCAGCAGACAGTATACCTTGCCGCGAGTACTTAAAATGCGGTAGCGAACATCAAAAGACGACAGCCTCGTCGAAAAGAAGGCACAACATCCGTAGTGATATATCCCTTTACTTGAACGAAACAACTCCAAAAAAACAAGAAATTCCGCCAAACAGATTCTGAAAATTGAAGGTGGAAGCCCTTGATCACATAAAGTAAAAGATTGATCAAACAGTAGGGGGCAGAGTCATGATTTCAAAGTATGCTCGAAAAATTTCTCGTTTAAATGGCGCCAAGAAAGCCAAAAAACGCTAAATGCTCACACTGAAACTCCAAAGTGAACATGGTCATTTCTACTGGAACCGCAGAAAATGGATGAATACATCTGCTATGTAAGAGGGACTATAAGGCTTTC